GTCCCTCACCCAGGCTGGCCAGGCACCCCAGCAGGACCCCCACCCTGATCCGGGACACCCTTCAGGGCAAACCAGCCAGCCCCCACCCATACACCAGGCCTCTATCCTATATAATAAAAGGGTAATATGCAAACTGACCCTAACAGCAGAATGACTGGGAATGACTGGTCACTATGACACACACTGACCAACAGGGGCCAGATGCTCAATGCAGGAGCTGCCCCCTGGTGCTCAGTCCCCTCCCACAGGGGGAGCTCTGCTCAGCCACAAGCCAGGCTGACGGCTGCCAGCACAGCAGTGATGGCGGGAGCCTCTCCCGCCTCCTCAGCAGCACTAAGGATGTCTGACTGCAGCTTAGGCCTGCTCCCCGCTGGCAAGTGGACATTCCCCAAGGGCTCCGGGGCTGCCAGAGGGATGTCTGACTGCCAGCTTAGGCCCAATCCCCCGGGGGAGTGGGCCTAAGCCAGCAGGTGGTCATCCCCCGAGGGGTCCCAGACTGCGAGAGGGCACAGGCCGGGTTGAGGGACCTCCCCGCCACCGAGTGCACAAATTTTTGTGCACCGGGCCTCTAGTCATTAATAAAGCTGTAGTGAACTTCTTAGAACATGTACTTGAATGACCCTCGGTGAGAATGTCTTCAGTATACATTCCCAGGAGCATGATTACTACGTCATATGCTTTGCATATACTAACTGGTAGTAAATTGCTTTCTAGCATGGCTGTCATACTTTACCTTTCCACAGCTATGAGGGCTCACTCCAAAGCCCCACAGCTCCCCAAAAGCTGGCACGCCTTTGTATACTGAACTTTTCATTGATTCAAGAAATAATTACTGAGTATATAGTATTCATATGGCTCTGTTCTAGGCACTAGAACTACAGAGGAGACATAAAAAGTAAAGCACGGGACCTGATCTAATTTTGGGATTGATGGTCAGTGGACATTCTCCAAGGAGAGAAAGAAATATTTGATCTGAGATCTAAACTATAAGTGGAAGAGAATGGAGAAGCCAGCATAGAGTTAGTGGGAGTATAAGGAAGACAAGATAAGTGATCCAAACAGAGGAAAGGGTATGTGCCAAGAAGGTCTGATGTGAACATGAATATGGCTCTTTGGAGAAAATTTGAAACCACAATGAGATACTATTGAATACTCATTAGAAAGGCTTAGTTATAAAGACTGATTATACAAAGTGTAGGTGAGGAGATGAAGCAACTGGAACTGTCATTCATTGCTGATAGGAATGAAAAATGGCATAGCCCTTTTGGAAAGCACTTTGGAAGTTTCTTACAAAGTAAAACATGGCTCCCTTGCAGCTCAGCAATTCCACTTCTAGGTATGTGTCAGAGAAATTGAGTGCTTCTGTTCACAAAATAAAAATGTGAACAAAATTTCAGAGAGTTAGATTCTTCAAAAAATTAAAAATGTCATTACCATGTGATTCAGTAATTCCACTTCTGGGTATATATCCAAAAGAACTGAAAACAGGATCTTGAAGAGATACTTGCACGCTCATTCACTGAAGTTGAAGTATTCAGCCATATGAAAGATGGAAGTCTTGACATATGCTACAACATGGATGAACCTTGAGGATATTATGCTAAGTAAAGTAAGCCAAGTCACAAAAAGGCAAATACTGAATGATTCCACTTATATGAGGTATCTAAAGTAGTCATATGCTTAGAAACAGAAAGCAGAATGATGGTTGCCATGAGCTGGGGTGAGGGGGAGAAGGGAAGCTATTGTTAAATAGGCTTAGAGTTCTGTTTTACATGGTGAAAATTTTCTAGAGATATGTTGCACAAAAATGGACATATACTTAATGGTAGTTATTGTACACACAAAAATGGCTCAGATGGTAAATGTTATGTGCTTTTTACCACAATAAAGAAAAATCAGCTCTATGGATAGAGCATTGGCCTGTGGACTGAAGGGTCCTGGGTTCAATTCCGGTCAAGGGCACATGCCTGGGTTTTGGGCTCGATTCCCAGTTGAGGGTGTGCATGAGACAGCTAATCAATGATTCTCTCTTCCTCTCTGAAATTAATAAAAATACATTTAAAAAAAGAAAAATCATAGCATCTTTATTCATGATAGCCCCAAATGGCAGAGGACCTGAATAGACATCTTTCCAAACAAGACATACAGATGGCCAACAGGTACATGAAAATGTGCTCAACATCACTAATCATCAGGGAAATGCAAATCAAAACCACAATGAGATATCACCTCTTACTTGTTAGAATGGTTATTATAAAAAAGATAAGAAATAACAAGTATTGGCTAGAATGAGGAGAAAAGGGAATCCTTGTGCACTTTTGGTGGCAATGTACATTTTTGCAATGACTATGAAAAACAGTGTGGAGGTTCCTCAAAACATTAAAAATAGAACTACCATATGATCCAGAAATTCCACTTCTGGGTATTTACATGGAGGAAATGAAAACACTAATTCAAAAAGATATCTGTATCCCCATGTTCATGGTAGCATTATTTACAATAGCTAAGTCATGGAAGTAACCAAAGTGTTCATCCTATCTAATAAAGACGGAATATGCAAATTGTCCATCACTTTGCAACAAAGATGGCGTCACCCACAGCCAATAAGGAGGGAATATGCAAATTGACACGACAAAGATGGAGGCGGCGGCTCTGCCCTAGAGTGAAGGCCCGGGTCCCAGGTGCTGGAGGGAAGTCGGTGCTGGCAGCCAGGGGAAGGAAGGCCTATTCTTGCACGAATCTTTGTGCATCGGGCCTCTAGTTAATAGATAAATGCATAATGAAAATTAGATACACACACATAAATATACATTTATATATATATATATATATACATATGAAATGAAATATTATTCAGTCTTAAAAAAGAAGGAAATCTTGCCATTTGCAATAACAAGGATGGACCCTGAGGGCATTATGTTAAGTGAAGTAAGTCAGACAAAGAAAGACAAGTACTGTAGATCTCACATATGGAAGCTAAAAAAAACAAAACCCTAAACTTAGACAGTAAACAGATTGGTGGTTGTCAGAGGTAGGGCAAAATGGGTAAAGGTGATCAAAAGGTAGAAACTTCCAGTTATAATTAAATATAAGTCATGGGAATCTATGTACAGCATGGAGACTACATAGTTAATAATAATGTGTTGTATATTTGAAAGTTGCTATGAGAGTAAATCTTAAAAAATTCTCATAAAAAAAATAACACAATTTGTAGCTACGTGTGGTGATGAATGTTAACTGGATTTATTGTGGTGTTTATTTCCCAATATTCACAAATATCAAATCATTATGATGTACACCTGAAAGTAATACAATGTTACATGTCAATTATATCTCAATTTTAAAAAGCAGAAATAAAATTAACAACTCCAAATGGGAAACAAGTCAAACACTCATCCACATGTGCATGAATAAAGAAATTAGGTTTTGTTTATACATTGGAATCATGAATTATAATAGAAATGAACAAACTGCTGACTGAATGGATTCAAACACATTATGCTTAGTAGAGTGAAAGCCAGATAAAAAGCAATATATATTACATGATTCCTTTTAGATTAAATTCAAGAACTAGCAAAACTAATCTACAGTGTTAAAAAAAAAAGGTTACTTCTGGTAGGAGTGGCATTGACTAATAAGATGCACAAATTAACTTCCTTGGTGATGAAAATGTTCTTGATCTGTTCTGGGTGGTGTGTATGTGACTATGGAATAAGTACAAATATTTGGATTTGTGCATCTCAGGTTTATCAGGTATATCTTAGTTAAAAAAATGAAACAAGGTCATGTTGGAAAGCAGATCACCAAACAAAGAGAAAAGATGTCAGAGATAAGGCACAAAATGAAGGTAAGTGTCTGATCATGCCAGGGTTATGGGTCCTGTTAAGGATGCCAATCTTAATGCTAATGGATGGAAAGGCATTTCAAGTGGAGGCATGGCAAGATTTGCTCTCTAGTTGTTTTTTGAATAGTTTGCATGAGCTCCCTGATTGCTGTGTAGAAAATAGATTAGAAAAGAGGCAAAATGTATATGGGAATTAGTAAGGCAACTACTGTGAATTTGGATGAAAGATGAAGGTACTCTGGACTGTGTTGGCAGTAGAAGTTAAAAAAAAAACAAACCACACACACACAATAGTGTCTCTTTCTCGGCTGCCTTTCTTCTTATTTACTAGGTAAAATCCTACATTTTCTTTCACCCTGGCTCATTTGTCCTAATCCTATGATTTGGTCCCTAGTTCTTGGCCAATGTTAGGTCTTGTTTCATTCTGCAGCTCACTCTATTAAAATGACTTGTCACTTATAGTTGATTGCTCATGTCTGATCCTGTGGTAGGAAGAACAGCCCCAAAAGATATCTATAACCTAATCCTGGAAGCTATGAATATGTTGCGTTGCAAGACAAAACTAACTCTGTAGATGTGCTTAAGGTTAAGGACCTTGAGATGGAGAATTATTCTAAACTAGAGGCCCAGTGCACAAAATTCATGCACGGGGGTGGGGTGGGGTGGGGAGGGGTTCCCTCAGCCTGGCCTGCACCCTCTCCAATCCGGGACCCCCCAGGGGATATCCGATTGCCAGTTTAGGCTGTAAACTGGTAGTCGGACATCCCTATCACAATCCGGGACCGCTGGCTCCTTACCGCTCACCTGCCTGCCTGCCTGATCGCCCCTATCCCCTCTACCTGCCTGCCTGATCCCCCCTAACCCCTCTGCCTGCTTGCCTGATCACCTCTAACTGCCTCTGCCTGCCTGCCTGATGCCCCTAACCACACTCCCCTGCCAGCCTGATCACCCCTAACTGCTCTCCCCTGCTGGCCTGATCGCCCCTAACTGCTCTGCCTGCCTGCCTGATCGCCCCTAACTGCCTCTGCCTCAGCCCTCGCCACCATGGCTTTGCCCTGAAGGATGTCTGTCTATTCAGTCTAATTAGCATATTACCCTTTTATTAGTATAGATCAGGGGTTCTCAACCTGTGGGTAGCGACCCCTTTGGCAGTCGAATGACCCTTTCACAGGGGTCGCCTAAGACCATCCTGCATATCAGATATTTACATTACAATTCATAACAGTAGCAACATTACAGTTATGAAGTAGCAACGAAAATAATTTTATGGTTGGGTCACAACATGAGGAACTGTATTTAAAGGGCCAGAAGGTTGAGAACCACTGGTATAGATTATCCTGGTATGTCTAATGTAATCATATGAGTCTTTAAAGGTAGAGAATCTTCCTGTTTGTTTTTTTTTTAAGCCAAGTTTCCTAGCTTTTCTTCTTCAGTTCGAGAGAGATGTGATGACTGCAGAAAGGTCAGAGAGATATAAAGTTGTTGGCTTTCAAGATAGAGGAAGGCACTCCTGAGCCAAGGAATGCAGGCAGCCTCTAGACACAAGAAAAGTCAAAGAAACAGATTCTTCCCTGAAGCTTCCAGAAAGGAACCAGACCCGTCCAGCTTCTGATTTTAGCCCAAGAGATCTGTGTCAGCTTTATGACCTTTGGCCACTTTAAGCCACTGAGTTTGTAGTAACTTAAAGATAGCAGTTGAAAACTAATACAATCCCCAGGTAAGTGAATGTTTTGAGGACTGCAAGGAAGCTTTGTGACCCTGGCTCCCAACATTTGTCTCGCACATAGAAAAAACCAGGAAGTGTTTAAAGAATGCA